CCTAAACCCTAGACCCTAAACCCTAAACCCTAAACCCTAAACCCTAAACCCTAAACCCTGAACCCTGAACCCTGAACCCTGAACCCTGAACCCTGAGAACCCTGAACCCTGAACCTCAAAAAGGGCAAATACGAGACCCTGGCGTGACCTAGGAATAAACAGGGTACCCTTTTTGTAGAGGATAGGACTAGGGGGACCCTTGGGGATATAGACCCTCTGAAGCAGGTCCCTGTTTAAGAGAGCCAGAAGAGGGTTCAGAAGGGTTCCCTTTTTAGGGCCCCCCTTATCCTACCTAGGATTTTGGTTTTTGGGGGATTGTAAGGGAACCCCAACCCTCAAAAAAAGAAAAAAGGGCCCGGGTCCTTAGAATAAGGTGTTGGGGGATACTAGAGTCTAATCATAAAGGGGCCACAAGGGAAAAACACTAGTAATTTCTCCGGCCTATATATTTAATAATCTCCGAAACACCCCAACGCCGAGGCAGGGCCGAAGTCCGAGTGCGCGGGTTTGGGGTGTTGGGGTGGAGGGCTTTACAGTCTCAGGGTGTTCGGGTTCAGGGTTTCAGGGATTTAGGGTTTAGGATGTTAGGAGTTTATGGCTTTCTGGCTTTAGGGTTTTAGGGCTTTTGGGTTTTAGGGCTCTTAAGGCGTTGTAGGGTTTTTGGATGTTCGGGCTTTAGGGAATCCGCCTTGGCGTTTGTGTGGTCCGCCAGGATCATCACCTCAGCGTTTCGCTCTGAGAGTTTAGTCGTGTGGGGTATCCCTAAACCCTAAACCCTAAACCCTAAACCCTAAACCCTAAACCAGGAGACCTGGGTCCCCTACACCAGGAATTACAGCCCTAAACACTGTAAAAGGGTTTAGGGTTTAGGGCGTAGGGTTTTATGGTGTAGGGTTTAGGGTTTAGGGTTTAGGGTTTAGGGTTTAGGGTTTAGGGTTTAGGGTTTAGCCCTAGTGGCCTATAATCCGTATCAACCCTGCAGACCTTATGATAAAACCTAAAAGCCCGACACACCCTATGGACTTTCTGAGCCCTAAGCCCTAAACCCGATAACCCCTCTAGGGTGTCTTCCGGGTTTGGGGTTTAGGGTTTGGGGCTTCGGGCTCAAGGGCAAGTCAAAATCTGGACGATGGTGTCTTTGAAAGTAGAGTTGGCGGCAGATAGCGAGTGGCCTCCTGAGCCAAAGGGTCTCGGGTTCTGAACCCTAAACCCTAAAACCTAAACCCTAAAACCTAAACTCTAAACCCTAAACCCTAAAACCTAAACCCTAAACCCTAAACCATGAACCCTGAACCTTAAACCCTGAACCCAACCAAAAGCTCGGGGCCGCGGCCCACTTGGTAGGTGGCTTGGCTGGATCGTCCAGGCCTGGACGAGACAGCGCATCCCAGCAGAGGTGTCGGGCTCAGAGTGGGGTTTAGGGTTTAGGGTTTAGGGTTTAGGGTTTAGGGTCTAGGGTCTAGGGTTTAGGGTTTAGGGTTTAGGGTTTAGGGTTAAGGGTGGCAAGTATCGAGAGACTCTAAGGCCCAGGATATAGGGGCTTGGGGCTTCCGTCGTGGAGGCACCCTACCGAAGTCTCAACCTCCCCCTTTTCCGGAAAGAGGCTTAAGGGTTAAAATCCTAAACCCTAAACCCCAAAACTCGACACAACTACAATGCCATGTATGATTGTCAGAAGGTCTGCCGTCGGCGTCAACAAGATGGTCAACAAATTCCCCTGCAGGGCAGAAACGGAAGACACTTCCCCTACGTTTGCCTTCGCCACCCCTATGAGAGAACACTTCTACCAGCGGAGTGCCTTTGTTGACGATGTTGTGGAAACATTATAGAAGATCACCACGAGCAATGCCAGTCTGGGCACGATCACAATTCACACATGACCTTAGTGAACTTAGTGCAGCCATCTTGCGTAGCCGAAACCCCCTGAACCGAACACCTCAAAACTCAGACCCCTAGTTATAAGCCCGAAGCCCTAAGCCGTGAACCCTAAGCCTCAAACCCATGAACCCGGACCATCCCCCCCCCCCCCTGGCGCCTCCGCACTCCTGATTGTTGGAGGTTGCGATGAGCCTGAGGGTGTCGACGGCCATGAACCTGGCCGCAGGGCTTTGGGGATATTAGGGGTTATGTTAGGGTTCTATTCGGGTTATGTTAGGGTTATATTAGGGTTATATTAGGGTTATATTAGGGTAATATTAAGGTTATATTAGGGCTTAGGGTTTAGGGGTACTAGAGTCATTAGGGTTTCGGGCTTCTGGCACAGGTCTGGGCGGTCAAGGGGAGTTTTGGGGGTGCGAGGGCCCCTAAACCCTAAAACCTAAACCCTATTTGGGCCTTTCGGTTTTTTTTAGGGGTTCCAGGGGGCTCAGGCTAGCTTTACGAATAAAAATCTGTCGGGCTCTAGCACCTCAAGGCGGGTTTAGGGTTTCGGGTTTAGGATTTAGGGTTTAGGAGGGTTAAGGGTTCAGTTGAAGCTTTGAGGTTTAGCCTTTAGGATGTCGGGCTTGAAGGTATAAGGGGAGCTGCGTGCGTCAAGACTTGTGAAGATCGCCAGTCACAAGGGCGGTGCTCACAATTCTAGCTCAACGTACGGTATGGTCCTTCAACCCTCACCCTCACCCCCCCTCCACCACCCACACTCAACAAAAAAGGCAACAGAGCTCTGATCAAGCCAGCAGCCTGAAGGCCAGAAAGGGCTCATGGTTCACACACTTCGGTTTGGCGTTCAGGACGGTAGGGTTTAGGGTTAAGGGTTTCGGATTTACACCCCAAAGCCCCAAATCCTAAACCCCAAGCCCCAGATCCTAAACCCCAAGCCCCAAATCCTAAACTTGTACATATAAAAGCATGTAACAATGTTTTTAAAGCTCTACAGCCTCCAACCCCCCTCCCCGCCACCCCATTCCCACCCTAAACCCTAAACCCTAAACCCTAAACCCTAAACCCTAAACCCTAAACCCTAAACCCTAAACCCTAAACCCTAAACCCTAAACCCCTACAACTCGAGACCCGAGGCTCGAAAGCCCGACAAAGCTGGAGCTCTCTGATACCCCTCAATCCTTCGTCTCCGCAAAGCTCAGGAAGACCAACCTCGGGGCCCCTGGAGCCCTAAATACTAAAAGCGGCTTAGGGTTTAGGTCGAAGAGGTGTAGCTGTGGAGGCAGCAGTGGCGGTGGCCCGCCTGCATGTGCTGAGCCTTTGCCTGGGGATCGTGGTTCCTGCGCCATGGAGTGGATGGAAGGATCATGCGTGCACCTGCTCCGACACCAGCTCTTCTACTGTCCGCTCCCCTGGCCAGCGCAGCCACCGCATTGGCATGTGACCCTGCGAGAGCTTGGACACGCTCCTCCGCGACCCGCGCCCGTTGTGGCAGTGCCGTGTCCAGCCGTCTCGGTGGCTCAGAGGTCCTGACGAATTCGCCAACTCTCTGCTCGATATCCTGGCCGTTCCACACTATGCTCTCGATGTGAGGAAGTATGTCGCCTACATTGGTAGGCTGTCGTGCCCATGAGGCGCTGAAGACCGCACCATCAAAGGTTGGTATTGGGGTGTCCTGTGGCACGCCTTGCCTGGCTTCAGGGGCTTCCGAACCTTACTTTGGGTGCGGGGTCGTTTGGGTCAGTTTGGGGGAGTGGGAGGGGGGTTAGGGTTCGGGGTGAAGGGCGTAGAGTTTAGGGTTTAGGGAAAGTTTAGGGTTCAGGGTTTAGGGTTACGGAAGCTACCTGATCCCCAGGGTTCTGAAGTATGGGCCCTTGCGTGGGGTCAAAATTATCAGGGTTTGGGGTTTGGGGTTTGGGGTACAGGCTTCGGGGGATTGAGACATGGTGGTTTTATAGCTTAGGGTTTAGGGTGCAGGGTTAGGGTCCCTAAACCCTAAACAGTAAACCTGAACCACGCCCTATGTACTCTCTCTCGCTCTCGCTCTCGCTCTCGCTCTCGCTCTCGCTCTCGCTCTCGCTCTCGCTCTCGCTCTCGCTCTCGCTCTCGCTCTCGCTCTCGCTCTCGCTCTCGCTCTCGCTCTCTCTCTCTCGGGAAGCTCGCCTGCCCAAGGGTATCCTCAACGTTTCGCACTGCAGTGTCTCGGGGTTTTCCCGGACAGGGCCTGCCGCACAAAAAGAGAAGTCAAGGGTTTAGAGTTTAGGGTTTAGGGTTGAAGGTTGACGGTTTAGGGTATCGGGTTTAGGGCATAGGGCCTAGGGTTTATGGTATAGGGTTTGGGGTATAGGGTTTCAGGTTTAGGGGCGTTCGTATCGTCGGTCATTATGTAGTTTCAAAGGGTATCGGGAGTCCAAGAAAGCGTGGGTTTAGATCCTGAGACCGTGAATGGACATCGCTTGATGAAACTCTAAACCCAAGGGTCCTGACACAAACAAGTCTGAGAGCGTGCAACAGAACCGGGGGCAAAACGGAAGCTTAAATGCTTGGAAAACTGAGCTCAACAAGCCCGCAGGAGAACACCCGAAGGAATGATGTTGGGACCCCCTGTAACCGCAAAGCAAACGAAACACTGCGCCCAAACAGGCTCTAACAGGACAACCAAAGTGCATGCAAGACCTTCGAATCTGCATTCTTTCTGAAGAAACCCGGGCAAACTCTCAGCTTTACCCCGCAGCCCTGAAAATCCGCCAGACCCCCCTAAATCCGAGACCTGAACCCCAAACCCCAAACCTTAAACCCTAAAACCCAAACCCTACACCCCAGACCCTAATCCTGAAACCCAAAAACCCTAAAACCCCAACCCTAAAGCCTCTAAACCCTAAAACCCTAACCCCCCTTTTACCCTATCCCTGAACCCTAGAGCCCTGAAACAATACTCAACCCTGACCCTAAACCCCTAAAACTTCAAACCCTCAACCCTAAACCCTAAACCCTAAAACCTACACCCTAAACCCTAAACCCTAAACCCTAAACCCTAACACCCTAAAACCCTGAAACCCCAAACTGTGCGCACTCCCAGCTTTTCTCTCGCGGGAGATCGCCACTTTGGGTGCCCCCAGAAGCTACTCCTTCGCGACCTGGGCTTGGCTGGTGCGTGGACTGTTTGGTTTAGGGTTTAGGGTTTAGGGTTTAGGGTTTAGGGTTTAGGGTTTAGGGTTTAGGGTTTAGGGTTTAGGGTTTAGGGTTTAGGGTTTAGGGTTTAGGGTTTAGGGTTTAGGGTTTAGGGTTTAGGGTTTAGGGTTTAGGGTTTAGGGTTTAGGGTTTAGGGTTTAGGGTTTAAGGTTTAGGGTTTAGGGTTTAGGGTCTAGGGTCTAGGGTCTAGGGTTTAGGGTTTAGGGTTTAGGGTTTAGGGGTTAGGGCTAGGGCTTTCCTTATAGTTTAGGGTTTCAGCGTTTTGTGGTCCAAATATGGGCATTTCCCAAAATAGGGGTACCCCTATCGGAAACCCCCATATAGGGTTGAGGGGGTTTGAGGAGTCTAGGGTCTAAGGGTCTGTTGAGGCTTTGAGGTCTTAGGTTTTTAGTGCTTTCAGGGCTGCTCCGCCAATAAACATAGCACACACACACATTGTTCAGTCAGCTTATGTACATATATATATATATATATAACATTGATTATTGACATATGTGTTCATATCTATAGCTACACGTATCTTTATACCACTTGGATGTATATGTCATGTAAACTGAAACCTGTATTCCGATCTCTACTTACCTGTCTATACTTCATAAGTACGTACATACATTCACATAGATACACATACATATACATACATATACGTACATATACATACATATACATACATATACATACATATACATACATATACATCCATATACATACATATACATCCATATACATCCATATACATACATATACATACATATACATACATATACATACATATACATACATATACATACGTACAGTGTCGCCCGACCCCGCTTGCTTAGAACAGAAGCGGGTGTGCGTAGAGCATGCGACGTCGTTTGGGCCGGAGCCGAGCCAAGTCTTCAGGCGCAGGCAAATCTGTACAAGCCATGTCCTGCGGTGTCACGTGTTGGCGCAAGACATGGGTGAGGCACTCAAACTTTCCCGTCGCTCCCACAGCGTCAAAGGCACAGGCCCATTGCCGGACGGTGAAAAAAGCTTCAGGCGCTTGCAGAAGCATCGACAACCACACATTGGCAGGCACCAGGCCCTCAGGGTAGCGCTGCCGGAGCTCGTGACGCATGCGCTCTAGCCAGCATTTGAAAGCTGCGAAGCCGGCGCTCAGCTTCGCTGGAACGTAAATTAGCTTGATGCGCTCGGCGCGCGCCGTTTGCATGACCTCTTGACAAAGATGGTACGGAGCCATGTCTAAGAGCCGCGCGATACGGCTCAAGCGCTGCACAAAACTTGCCGAGGATGCGTGTCATGAGCTTGCTAGTATTCCAGGCAGATTTTTCTCTCCAGAGTACCACAGGCTTGCCTGCAACCTGTGACTGAAGTGATTGAAAGTCCCTCACTGTCAACCGTGCCTTGCTGGCTATGATGATATGGGGAAGGCACGATTTCACCCTGCGATCGTTGCATATGACTGCAACGTAGGTGAAACAGCCTCTCAGGTCACCTTTTCGGGCGAGACTGGCCGGGTGTAGCACTAGGGAGGGCCAAAGTCTCAAAGTTCACGTGGAGAAACCAAACCAAGAGGCGACTTCGGCACATACCGTACTGCAGTTTCGTCCAAGTTGACCAACAGGACGCGCTTGCCACACGTGTAGCCGACCCACTGCCAGAAAATGGCGACCTGGGCGCGTCACCACTTTGAGCCCAGAAAACAGGCTGACTTTTTAGCCTACCTGCTTAAGCACGTGCCACAAGACCCGGACCCAAAATCCACAAGACCCGGACCCAAAATCCGGCCCTGTTATTTAGCCCACATCCGGCCCTGGTATTCAACCCTCGAGCAAACATGGCTTACACACCCCGTTCACACGCTGCTTGTTTTCACTCCTACTCCGCCTTGGCGTGTATGCTGGGTGCGTCCAAGTCTTCACACAAGCGCAGCTGGCCTGGGCGGAAGCCCCAGCGCTTTCTTCAGCGTTTGACCCCTGCCTTTCCAGGTGGAGCGTGCCTGCCCCCAGGAACTTCACGTAAGCCCGGCACGCGTCCTCTGCAGTGGGTGCAACACATGGCCCAAGTTTTGCCGCCGTATCCACGTCGCTAGGCAGACCGATGCGACAAATTCTCTGGCGAGTCGCTCTGCAGTGGCTGAGAACTGCGCTTGCGAAACATCTACCTTAGCCACCGGAGTCTGCACAAACGCCGCATCCGGCAGGTGCCCCCGCCATTTGCGCCGCCTCGCCAGTTGCCTGGCCAGGACAGCCCCGCGCACGCTGGCCACTGTAGTTGTAGGCCAAGACAACTGCCCCGACGCAAACCCCCTGCGCTCCATTTGTTTGCGAACACGCGCACGCTGCCCCGACAGTTGCTTGAGATCACGGCGTGTCACGACCAGGCGCTCTCCTGTAGTTGAGCGACCAGGGGCTACGGGCTCCGAAGAGCTAAGTCTGACGCTTCTTGCTTTGGGCTAAGGGCTCCGAAGAGCTAAGTCTGATTTCTTTGGGCGAAGGGGCTAAGCCTGACGCTTCTTGCTTTGGGCTAAGGGCTCCGAAGAGCTAAGTCAGCTGCTCTTGCTTTGGGCTAAGCCGAAGAGCTAAGTCCCCGGGCTAAGTTTGCTGCTTTTGCTTTGGGCTAGGGGCTCCGAAGAGCCACGTCTGACGCGTTTTGCTTTGGGCTAGGGCTCCGAAGAGCTAAGTTTGCTGCTCTCTGAACAAACCTTTTTCACATCTGTACTTTCCAATTCTTGGTTTGCTTGTTTTTTGTGCGGGGTTTCGTTCCTGCACTCACATCGTGCTGGTACGCAGCTCGCGAGTTGCAGCACAAAACGGTTCTGTACTGGCTGCACTGTACAGCTGAAGCAGCGCAAGACGGTTCTGTACTGGCTGCAGTGTACCGCTGCTGTCTCACAAGCAAGACCTGTGCAGGACGGCCTGCATTCGTCCGCAAGACTGGTAGCTACTGGTAGCTCATGTGTTCCAGCTTGAACCTCTACTTGCTGTCGGCTGCATCTGCGTTACCATGCATCGCTGCCATCATGACCCTGACCGTCTGCAGCGCTTACGTGCCCCAACATTGTGGCCGTGAACCTCGCCTTCCTTGCCATGGCCTTCCTGGCGCCGCGTAAAAGCCACAAAAGCTCGGCTGTGTTGAGATTTCCGGCTCGCCGAAGCAAGCTCTGGCGCTGTCCCACCTACGTGATCGGCGTGCTGGAAACAAAACCCCATCTCAGCAAACACGCCAACAAACAAAACAAGCTAGACTCGCTAGACGAGGCAACGACTTTAAAAAACCCTGCCTCGTTGCGCAAAGAACGACTGGCCACCTTCAACGCTCTCTTCAACGACTCTCGTTGGTTCTTCAACTGCTGCACCGGATCGTCCATGGCACCAGAAGTTAACTGCGCAGAACCACACAGCCCCAAAAAAGTGCTGCTGCTCATGCAGTGCTTTCAGCTTGCAAGCAGGAACACACGCACTTGCACAGGTCCACCAAGCGAACACAATCAGGACCTCTTTCTTAAGCCTGCAAGACTTGCGTTCTGGGCGCTGCCTGGCCCTGCGCCCTGGCAGTATACATACATATACATACATATACATACATACACATACACATACACATACACATACACATACACATACATACACATACATACACACGTACGTACGTACATACGTACGTACGTACATACATACATACATAGGCACTCTAAAGCCCGACGCCCGAAACCCTGAACCAAATCCCCTCACCCGTAAACCCTAGACCCTCTTAACTAAGCACCCTAAACCCTCACAACCAAAACCCTAAAGAAACTATTGCTAAACCCCAAACCCCAAGCCCTAAACTCAACACCCCTAACAGCTCTAAACCCTACACCCCAAACCCTAAAAACCCCAAACCCCTAAGCCCCTAAACCCTGAGCCCTGCCCCCTGACTCCTCAGCCTCAAACCCCTTTATCCTAAGACCCAACTCTGCAGGCCCTTGATTTTCCCGCCCGGCGGCTACGATCACCACCTTGCCGTGGGCACGACGGCTCTTCTGAATTCGAAACGCCTCAAGACGAGGTCCGGGGACTTTATAGGGTTTAGGGTTTAGGGTTTAGGGTTTAGAGTTTAGGGTTTAGGGTTTAGGTATTAGGGTAAGGGCTTGAGTGTTTAAGGGTTAGAGGGCTTATGGGGCTTAAGTTTTAAGTAGGTGTTGGGGAGCTGTGGGTTCGAGGGCTTTGGGCTTTTTAGGGTTTTGGGGTTTGGGGTTTAGGGGTTTTGGATTTAGGGTTTGGGGTTCAGGGTCTTTAGGATTAGGGTTGGGGTTTCAGGGCATAGTGCCGAGGATTTAATTAGGGTTTAGGTCGGGGGCTTACGGTTTAGGAAGGTGCGCGCGCAGGCCCGAGCCTCTTTGACCCCCCCACAAAAAAGAAACTTAAAACCCGCCCCAAAACCCTAAACCCTAAACCCTAGACCCTGAACCCCAAGCCCTAAACCCCAAACCCTAAACCCCAACACCCTAAACCCCAAACCCTAAACCCCCAAACCCTAAACCCCCAAACCCTGAACCCTAAACCCCAAACTCTCGCAAGCCCTGCCAGGGCGCCTCCTGCAAGCCCTGTAGGTCGAACTGGTGGGTCGAATCCAGCACCTGAAACTCAGAAAGAGCTTCGGGGCTTTAGGTGGTTTGGGTTGAGGGTCTAAGGTGTAGGGTTTAGGGGTTTAGGGCTTAGGGTTTCGGGTTTAGGGTTTAGGGGTTGAGTGTGTGGGGGGTTGGGGGGTGTGAGGTTGAGGGTGTGGCTCGCGGTTAGGGGCGAAGGGTTTAGGGGTTTAGGGCTTTCGTTCGGGCTTTCGGGGCTGAGGAGTTTAGGGTCTAGGGGGGCGGGGTTAAACCCTCATTAAACCCTAAACCCTAAACCCTAAGCCCTAAACCCTAAACCCTAAACCTAGACATTGTAATCGGGCTTGGCTCTGAGACACGTTCAGCCAAAACCTTTGCAACGCTTTTGGGGCTTTAAGGGGGAGCCTCCTGTAGGTTTGTTCCTTTCTTTTGGGCATAGAACCTTCTTCAAACTGCGTTTTTGGGGGGTGGATTTTGTTGGCTCTTGTGGGAGCGGCCCTATCCCTACACCATACACCCTAAACCCTAAACCCCTAACCCCTAAGTAAACCCTAAGCCCTAAACCCTAAGCCCTAAGCCCTAAGCCCAAAGCCCTAAGCCCTAAACCCTAAACCCTAAACCCTAAACCCTAAACCCTATTCGGCCCAGGCGCCGCCCGCAGCTCGCCGGCCTCGACGCGGCGCAGCAGCCGCGCGAGGTCCTTGGGCTCCTTGGCGCGGTTTTCTTAGGGTTTTTGGGGTTTAGGGTGTAGGGTTTAGGGTGTAGGGTTTAGGGTTTAGGGTGTAGGGTTTAGGGATTAGGGTTTAGGGTTCCAAAACGCCAAAGGCTCCACAGCCTAAGGCCACCAAACCCTAAGCGCCCTCTACCCTAAACCCTAAACCCTAAACCCTAAACCCTAAACCCTAAACCCTAAACCCTAAACCCCAAACCTAGCCGAGGCGCCAGGCCGAGGTGGTACGACCACCGGGGCTTCGAGCGGAAGATGCCGGTCCACAGACTTCGGGCTGTCATGTCGTACCTAAGGGGTTTGGGGTTTAGGGTTTGGGGTTTGGGGTTTAGGGTTTAGGGTTTAGGGTTTGGGGTTTAGGGTTTAGGGTTTAGGGTCTGGGGTTTAGGGTTTCGGGTCTAGGGTTTGGGGTTTGGGGTTTGGGGTTTAGGGTTTGGGTTTTGGGCTTTAGGGTTTGGGGTTTGCGGTTTGCGGTTTCGGGGATTGACTTCACCAGGCCACCCCCCAAGGTTACGTTAGTTCAGGTTCCTCTGCAAGGGTACTTTACCAGGATACGGGAAGGGTTCGGATTTCGGCTCTAGGATCTAGCACTTTTAGGGGCCAGGTCCATGGCTTAACCCAACTTTGGGCACTTCTGGCCCCGCCTGCAACCTTCGTTTAAGGACGCAAGCAGCATCGGTTTAGGGTTTAGGGTTTAGGGTTTAGGGTTTGGGGTTTACTAGGGTTTAGGGTTTAGGGTTTAGGGTTTAGGGTTTAGGGTTTAGGGTTTAGGGTTTAGGGTCTAGGGTTTAGGGTTTAGGGTTTAGGGTTTAGGGTTTAGGGTTTAGGGTTTAGGGTTTAGGGTTAGGTTTAGGGTTTAGGGTTTAGGGTTTAGGGTTTAGGGTTTAGGGTTTAGGGTTTAGGGTTTAGGGTTTAGGGTTTAGGGTTTAGGGTTTAGGGTTTAGGGTTAGGGTTTAGGGTTTGGGGTTTGGGGTTTAGGGTTTAGGGTTTAGGGTTTCGGGTTTAGGGTTGGGCTATAGCCATATGGGAGCCTTCACGCGCTTGGGAAACCATAATCCCCCCCCCCCCCAGAACCGCTGAGCCCCAAATAGACCCCAAACCCCCAAACCCCAAACCACCTTCGAACCCTGAACCCTGAACCCGCTATGAACCCTAAATCCTACACCACAAGAAGCCAAACCCCAAACCTGAAACTTCAAAAACACGAGACTCAAGATTCGGAGGCCTCTTACAGGTTGATGACCGAGCCCAAAACTCCAATTACACCCCTCATCCGTCAACACCCAAAGACATACATGGACGAGGGTTTGACGGTGGTAGAACTTTGATTGGGCTAGGGGTTGAGGTTGTCATGGGTTTAGGGCATAGGGTTTAGGATTCGGATTTGGCAATTAGGGATTAGCGTTTCGAGGGTGCTAGGTTGTAGAGCTGATGAGGACGAATCTGGGCAAAGTTGCATGAGCGGGAAGATGTGCCACCAATGGCGGAATTTCATGTACCTGCAAGACACCCTAAGCCGCACGCCCCACAACCGCTATAAACCTTGCCGCAGGCGCGGGGGAGCGGTCGAGGGGGAGGAGGCTAAGAACTTCAGCCCTACACTCCTTCAACCCTAAATCCTACACCCTAAGCCCTAAACCTTGCCCTCCGCAAAGCCCTGAAAAACCAAAAACAACCTTAATCCTAAACCCTCAACCCTCAACCCTCAACCCTAAACTAAACCCTCGACCCTCGACCCTCGACCCTAAACCCTAAACCCTAAACCCTAAACCCTAAACCCTAAACCCTAAACCCTAAACCCTAAACCCTAAACCCTAAACCCTAAACCCTAAACCCTAAACCTACATCCAGGGATGCAGGTGCTTCGAAACCGTTGAGTCAGCTCGTGGCTCCGATTTACGTTGACTCCTTTTGGGCCAGGGTGCCACAGAGGATCTACGGTTCAGGGCTTAGGGCGTAGGCTTAGGTTTGGGGCTTAGGGCTTAGGGTTTAGGGTTTAGGGTTTAGGGTTTAGGGTTTAGGGTTTAGGGTTTAGGGTTTCGGGTTTAGGGCTATAGGGCTCAGAGGCTCCGAGCCCTAAACCCAAAAAGGGGCGGACGAAAGTAGGGAACCCCGAAAAAAGACCCCCAAAGAGCAGGATTCCCTTATAATAGGGCCCCCTAGAACTACCCCCTATTTTCGGAAACCCCTAAACCCTAAACCCTAAACCCTAAACGGGTTTTTTTGGATTCTTGGATCGAAGCCATGCGGCGGCGTGTCGCCCACCGTCGTCACGAAGCGGCCGCCCAGGCGACCAGACTTCACCTCGGCTCGGGAGCTTGTTTAGGGTGTAGGGTTTAGGGTTTGGGGTTTAGGGTTTAGGGTTTAGGGTTTGGGGTTTAGGGTTTAGGGTTTAGGGTTTGGGGTTTAGGGTTTAGGGTTTAGGGGTTTAGAGTTTGGGGTTTAGGGTGTAGGGTCTAGGGCTTACTGGGTCTTGGGCTTATGGATTATAATTCTAAGTTTGGGGTTGTAGGGTTTGGGGTTTAAAGGATTTGGGCTTGGGGCTTAGACTTCTTCAAGGCTTTGGGGTTCAGTTCCCTGTTCTTTTTGTTTTTTCTTGCAGGGTGGGGGGTTGCGGCTTCGAACTTAGGATTCTTGGACGCAGAACAGCCGCACCGAAACTGCCAGGCCCGCCCCTCCCGCACCCAAACTACCCAACAACAAGACCCTATAGTTCAGGCAAGGTTGTTCGTGGCTTAAGTATACCCTAGAAACCTAAACCCTAAATCCTAGACCCCAAAGCCCTAAACCCTAAACCCTAAACCCTAAACCCCAAACCCTAAACCCTAAACCCTAAACCCTAAACCCTAAACCCTAAACCCTAACCCCAAACCCCAAACCCCAAACCCCGAACCCTTCCCAGACTGCAGGGGAGGCGGCGACGCCGGAGCTGGCGGCCCGATTCCACGGCTCACGCGTGCCGTAGAGGTCTACCTTGGTAGTAGGGTTTATGGATTAGGGTTTAGGGTTGGGGGTTTAGGGTTTAGGGTTTAGGGTTTAGGGTTTAGGGTTTAGGGTTTAGGGTTCAGGGTTGAGGGTTGAGGGTTGAGGGTCCCCTAAACCCGATAACCCGAAGCCCCTTGAGGGTTTAGGGTTTAGGGAATGGGGTTTGGGGGTTTGTTGGGGTTCGAGTTTGGGGTTTCGCCAGAATCCGCTTGCACTGCCCTGAAATCCTGCACCCTAGACTTGCCAGCAAATCCCCAAACCCCCCAAACCCCCCAAACCCCCCAAACCCCCCAAACCCCCCAAACCCCCCAAAGCCCCCAAAGCCCCCAAAGCCCCAAAGCCCCAAAGCCCCAAAGCCCCAAAGCCCCAAAGCCCCGAAGCCCCAAAGCCCCAGAACCCCAAACCGGAAAACCCCAAACCCCACTTTACCGCGCCAACATCTTGGATAGCCTGGTTTACAGGTTCATAACCTGCATAAGGTCTATAAACCCTAGCTAGGACCTGGGGTCCCAACCCCCGAACGCCCTTCTGAAGCATCCCAAGCGCTAAACCCTAAACCCTAAACCCTACACCCTGAACCCTGAACCCTAAACCCTAAACCCTAAACCCTAAACCCTAAACCCTAAACCCTAAACCCTAAACCCTAAACCCTAAACCCTAAACCCTAAACCCTAAACCGAGCCTGCGGTTCCCTGTCCTGGGGGCCCCCTTTTAAAGGGCCCCTCCCCATGATGTGGGCCGAAGGGGCCACCAGGTCGAAGGGAGTGTCTTTGAACTCCGCTATCTCCCACCAGTTCTCCTGATCAAGCAGGGGGGGCCTCCAAGCCCGGGAGTCCCCAGATTCCTGCCGTTTCTTTTGGGGTTTGGGGTTTAGGGTTTAGGGCTGTAGGGTTTAGGGCTGTAGGGTTTAGGGTTTAGGGTTTAGGGTTTTGGGTTTTGGGTTTTGGGTTTTGGGTTTTGGGTTTTGGGTTTTGGGTTTACGGTACCCTAAACCCTAAACGCCAGTGGTTTGGGGCGTTAAACGCACCCCGAAAAAACCCAAACCCTGTGTCTACCGCACAGAGGTTGGGGTTGGTGAGCTTTTTTACCAACGAAAGAGAGCCCGGAGGCCCAAATAGGTAACCGGACTCAAACCCTAATCCCTAAACCCTGAAAGGAAAAGATGGCGTGGGGTGGTCCAAGTAGCTGCACTTGATCGCTCTCCAAAGACAAGACGCTTCACTCCGTATGGTAACAAAGTGTTATATAAGACCCGAAACCCTAAACCTTGAACCCGAAACCCTAGACCCTAAACCCTAAACCCTAAACCCTAAACCCCCCAACCCCCCTTCACTAGCCCCGTGTCTGAGGGGCCTTGGTTCGGTCGATGACTCGGTCGACGCCCAGCTCACCCAGCAGGTCCCTCGGCAATATTTCAATATTTGGGTAGTTCTCTAAACTAGGGCCCCCTTGTTAGGGTTTAGCGTTTAAGGCTTAGGGTTTGGGGTTTCGGGTTTAGGGTTTAGGGTTCAGGGTTCAGGGTTTAGGTTTTAGGGCTTAGGGTTTAGGGTTTAATTAGGGTGTAGGGTTTAGGGTTTTAGGGTTTAGGGTTTGGGGTTTGGGTTTAGGGTTTAGGGTTTAGAGTTTAGGGTTTAGCGTTTAGGGTTTAGGGTTTAGGGTTTAGGGTCTAGGCTTTACTGTTTAGGGTTTAGGGTTCGGGTGCACCTTTAGGTAGGTTCCTGCTTTGGCTCCTTGTATCGTGCGGCACCTTATAAAAAGGACCCCCAAAGGAATCCTAATTGAGAGAACTACCCATTTATGGTTCAGAGTCATAGGATGGTGTAAGGAAACGATGGAAGAGAGAAGAAAAGAGGGAGAGAGAGAGAGAGGAAGGATTTGGGTGGTTTAGGGTTTAGGGTCTAGCGTTTAGGGTTCAGGGCCTAGCGGGGAGGATTGGGGTAGTTTAGGGATGAGCGTGCACGGAGTTGCGGACAAGGGACTCCTTCTGCGTGGAGGTCGCCGCGACATAGCTCGCCCCGTGTGGTTTCCTTGCCGCGTCAGGCGGGTTTCCCTAAACCCTAAACCCCAAACCCTAAACCCTAAACCCGAAACCCTAAATCCTAAACCCCTGAGGCCTCTTCTTGTCCTGGATCAAAGCACAGCCTCAAAACCCAGGCCTGTCTTGGGGTAGTTACATGGTCCTCTTAGTATGGGCCCTGAAAAGGGGACCCATATATACAGTCTACACCCCGAGGGCCCGTACATCAGAACCCTTTAAAGGAGGTAAGGGACCATACAAAGGGGCCATGTAACCTTCAAAAACGCTAAAGCCTAGGAACAGGAAAACGACAGCATGTTGCAAAACATGTTGGTTCAGAAACATCGTGTACTATACGTTGGGATGTTCCTCCTTATACTAGCAGTCCTTCCTTAATAGGGATTACAGTACCATCTGTTTTTAATTCTTTTTCAGGACTTTAGTATAAGGGTGAACATCCCAAACTATATGCTAGATGCATAATATAGCATATATATATATATATGTATATTAGATTTGAGATATACATATATGTAGTACATTATATAGTATGATACAGATTGTGCATTGTACATGGTATGTTGTACTCAAGGCCCCCTATTTTTTCTTCCATTGTTTAAGAAATCCCCAAAACAAAAAGAACCATAATCCCTATGTTGCCCTTGGAAGGAAGAACCTGTCTATTTCTTGGGTGGGTCCCTAAACTCTAAACCCTAAACCCTAAACCCCAAACCCGTCGTGTAGGGTCCGAGCTGCAACAGCTGTACCAGGTGGCATCCAACGCCGCCTCCTCCACCAAGGACCAGCACGCGGTCGCCCGACCGAACGTGCCTTCATGAGGATTTAGGGTTTAGGGTTTAGGGTTTAGGGTTCAGGGTTCAGGGTTTAGGTTTTAGGGCTTAGGGTTTAGTGTTTAGGGTTTAGGGTTTAGGGTTTAGGGTTTAGGGGTTAGGGGTTAGGGTTTAGGGGTTTAGGGGTTTAGGGTTTAGGGTTTAGGGGTGAGTGAATCGAAGAGGGCGAAGGGGGAGGGGGGGGGTCATTTCGAGCACATGTTGGGAACATGCCCCACGCCTCCCATGCGCCCTTCTCCCTGCTTTTGGCTTGCAACTTTACCAGACCCACAGCCTACAACCGAAGAACCCCAAAGCGCCAAACTTCACTAAACTCAAGATGACCTCAAACCGCTTTAGCCCTGAACCTCAAGTGCACACTCCAAAACCCTAAAACTCTAAACCCCTCCCCAAGCCCAAAACCCCCAAGCCCTTAAACATCTTGTAACCCTAAACATTCTACATGAAACCCAAACCCCTAAACCACTCTAACCCCTGAGCTCACTAAACCCTAAACCCGAAACAGCCCTAAACCTTAAGACCCTAAACCCTAAACCCTATACCCTAAGCCCTAAACCCTAAGTAAGACCCAAAGACCCCATAAACACGGCATGCAATGGCCTCTCACACAGCAGCATCGCCGTCAGCGCGCTCGACGGCAGAGCCGCCGCATCCTGTCCGAGGATCACCAAATGGGACCAGATGCTTAGGGTTTAGGGTTTAGGCTTAGGGTTGAGGGTTTAGGGGTTTTAGGGTTTTAGGGTTTTAGGGTTTTAGGGTTTAGGGTTTAGGGTTTAGGGTTTAGGGTTTAGGGTTCAGGGTTCAGGGTTCAGGGTTCAGGGTTTAGGGTTTAGGGTTTAGGGTTTAGGGTTTAGGGTTTAGGGTTTAGGGTTTAGGGTTTAGGGTTTAGGGTTTAGGGTTTAGGGCTTGGGATTTAGGGTTTGGGTTTAGGGTTTTAGGGTTTTAGGGTTTAGGGTTTAGGGCTTCGGGTTTCGGGCTTGGGTTAAGCTTGGGATTTGAGGCTTCGGAGTTTAGGCTGAGGACTTCGGGTTGGTTGAGGGTTTTGGATTTTGGGCTTAAGCTTGAGGGGGTTCAAAGGGGTGTATCAGGGGTGCAAGGGGGTTCGGGGGGTAGGGTATAAGGGGGATATCAGGGTTTTTAGGGGGGGGGGGGGGGTGTAAAAGGGGGAGGGAGGGTATCATGTGGGTATAAGGGGGCCCGTGCCATGCTCCATGTCGCCAACACCTCAACGCGGCTCCAGCGCTCGGAACAAGAATTCCTGAACCCTGAGCCCCTACGCCGCCTGGAGCCACTGAGCTGAAGACTTACATTTCCCCCAACACCCCTAAAGCCCCTAAACCCCTAAACCCCCCAAAGCCCTAAAGCCCCTGAAGACCCTAAACCCAAAACTCGAAACGCTAAATCCCAAAACCTAACCCCCCAAAAAAGCCCAGAAAGCCCCTAAAGACTCTAAACACAAAAAACTCTAAATGCTAAATCCTAAAACCTAAAAGCCCCCAAAGCCTCTAAACCCCAAAACCTAAAGCCCCAAAACCCAAAACCCTAAGCACTAAACCCCTAAACCCATGAACCTAAAGCCCAAAAACCCAAAGCCGCAAAACCCAAAACCCCTAAACCCCTAAACCCCAAAACTAGAGAAACTAGAGCCTAGAGCCCACCAAGCCCCAAAAGCCCTCACCCCGAAACCCTAAGCCAAAAACCCAAAACTAACCCCAAAAACACCGAAAACTCTAACACCTCTAACCCAACGCCTAAGCCCTAAACCACAAACCCTAAACCCTAAACCCTAAACCCCAAACCCTAAACCCCAAACCCCAAAACCCTAAACACCACAAGACCCTACAACCGAAGCCTCGGCGCTCAGCGCGGCCGGCTTCAGCACGGCATTCTCGGCCTACTTGGAGATTGTAGGGTTTAGGGTTTAGAGTTAGGGTTTAGGGTTTAGGGTTTGGGATTTGGAATTTAGGGTTTAGGGTTTAGGGTTTAGGGTTTAGGGTTTAGGGTTTAGGGTTTAGGGTTTAGGGTTTAGGGTTTAGGGTTTAGGGTTTAGGGTTTAGGGTTTAGGGTTTAGGGTTTAGGGCCAAGGTTTTCGGGTTTTTAGCGTATTTGTAAGTCCCCTAAAGTCCTCAAAGTAGATTACAACTGGGGTTATAAAAACTCCATGTAGGGGAGCTGCTGGAGCTCGCGACTCCAGGGTTTAAGGGCTTTTGGGGTTTGGGGGGTGTAGGGTTTAGGGTTTCGGGTTCAGGGCTTAGGGTTTAGGGCTTAGGGTTTCTGGTTTGCGGTGCAGGATTTAGGGGAGCTTTGGGGGTTTTCAAGGTTTTCAGGCTTTGGGGGGTTTTGGGGCTTTGGGGGTTTTCGGGCTCTGGGGATCAGGGTTTTAGGGGTTTGGGGTTTAGGGCCTAGGGCCCAAACCCTGAAACCTTAACCCCAAACCCTAAACCCCAACCCTAAACCCTAAAACCCTAAAAACCCAAACCCTAGAGCCCATGATGCGAACACCTATACGCTGAGGAAACCTTACCATGAACCCCTACTTCATCTCATCTCTGGACCTAAGCTGTCCAGAAGTTAAGGGTCAAGGCTTAGAAGCTTAAGGGTTTAGGGTTTAGGGTTTATGGGTTAGGGATTAGGGTGTAGGATCCAGGGTCTAGAACGTGCGCGACTTGATGATGGATAGGGTGAGGTAAAGTGGAATGGAAAGAGGAGGTTCTCTGCCTCGCCAACCAGAAACATCAACGGCTCCAGGACCCAAGACCCCTTAAACCCGTAAACCCCAAAACCCTAAACCCTTAAACACGAAACCCTAAACCCCAAACCCCAAACCCCAAACCCTAAACCCCAAACCCTAACCCAAAAGGCCCCCGGAAAACCCATGGCCTTGACCACCTTGTACTCAGCCAATGCACCGCGGGGTCCTGGTCTTGAGCAGCTCCAGCGCTTCAGGGCTTCTCATCATGGGGTTTAGGGTTTAGGGTTTAGGGTTTAGGGTTTAGGGTGTACGGTTTAGGGTTTAGGGTTTAGGGCTTTCGGGTTTAGGGTTTAGGGTTTAGGGTTTAGGGTTTAGGGTTTTAGGGTTTTAGGGTTTAGGGTTTAGGGTTCAGGGTTTAGGGTTTAGGGTTTAGGGTTCAGGGTTAGGGGTTTAGGGTTTGGGGTTGGTTTAGTGGCGTTAGGGTTTTAGGGGTTTTAGGGGTGTTAGGGGTGTTAGGGGTTTTAGGGGCTTTAGGGGTTTTAGGGTTTAGGCTGTAGGCTTCAGGGCTTTAGACTGTGGGGGGTTTAGGGTTTAGGCTTTAGGGTTGTGGGGCTTTGAGGGCTTTAAGGGCCTTAAGGCTGTAGTGATGTGGGGCTTGAGGGCTCTCGGCTTTGGGGGTCTAGGGTGCAGAGGCTTGGGGCTTTGGAATTAGGCTTTTCTTCAAAGCTTTAGGGCTTTAGGGCTTGGGGTTGCAATGTTTAAGGTTTGTAGGGCTTTACTGTCTTTAGGGCTTTAGGGCTTTAGGGGTTTAGGGCTTTGGGGTTTGAGAGGGGACTGTCGTGAGGTACTATTATCGCGAGCAAACACAATAAACTGTAAGAGGAAAGCCCGCGTGACCTTCACTTCGTTCTCGCGTTCGTTTCACTGCCTTGTCCTTCAAAATAATGATGCTGCGTTCGCTCCGTTCTCTGCACAGTCATAACATTCATACTAACATCTGAGTGAACTGAGACGTGGGGTGGATTCTATGGTCTTTGAGGCAGTAACAACAATATGCATAAGGGGTGTTCGTAAGCTCACGGATTTAGTACTAATCCTGGTTCAAGAGCCTTTTATAACAGCCTGCTGGTCGATCACTCACGGCTTTGGAATATCTCTGCCTTTTTCTGGGCTTTAGTGGGCTTCCTGAGCAGTCATAAAGATAGGGGATCCAACACAGCATGGCCCCACTACAACATCGCCTTTGACAGTACAACCTTGGCAACATGAATGCGCCGAGTGCTCCTTGCAACGTCATGCAACATGTGCGTTTTACGGGGCATTCTTGGGCACAATATGACATGTAACACTTCCACCATGCGCTGATGCACCTTACACCACAACAAGAACCCTAAACCCTAAACCCTACACCCTAACCCTAAACCCTAAACCCTCAACCCTTAACCCTAAACCCTACACAACCCTAAACCCTACACCCTCAACCCTACACCCTAAACCCTAAACCCTCAACCCTAAACCCTAAAACCCTAACCCCTAAACCCTGCCCAAGCCCCGGTCCAGCCGTATCGAACATGGCGACAACCGGATCGCCGGCCTTGAACTGCGTCTCCCCCTGCAACACAAGAGGCTCAGGGCATTGATCTTTCTAGAGCTTCGGGTGCATCGCGGTTTGGGGTTTAGGGTTTAGGGTTTAGGTTTAGGGTTTAGGGTTTAGGGTTTCGGGTTTAGGGTTTAGGGTTAGGGTTTAGGGTAATTAAGGGTTTCAGGAGGAGAAAGCGGCAGCACTTAGGCCCACTCTACCATCGCAGGTCGTCGGCGGCGCTTCGCGGGGTGGCAAGTGACACTGAGATAAAAGCGTGGCATCTGCAAGGAGGTAATATTGGGTTTTCGGGTTTAGGGTTTAGGGTTTGGGTTTAGGGTTTAGGGTTTAGGGTTTAGGGTTTAGGGCTCAGGGTTACAAGCTTAGAGGCCTGAATAAATTAGAAAAGGGTTTGGGGGATATTGTAGTATAATTACAAAGGGGCCATAAGGGAATGCGATTAGAAATTACTCCGACCCGCATATTAGATGCTTTGGCGCACCGCGCCCCATCATCTAAGGGGGTGAGACGGGGAATATGAGCCTTTGCACCCACTCCCTATCCTCTTGGAAACAGCAAGAAAGGCTCAAATAACCCTCAAAATCCCTAAACCCGAAAAGGGACACAGGTTCTTGTTCTTGGGAGGGCTTTTATGGTGAGGGTCTACTCTAGGGCCTTCATAGTTGGAATAGGGTTTTAGGGGGTTAGTATAGTATTAAAACTATACGGAAAACATCAAGGCCATAATACTAGTACTTATTCCGACCCCCATATTAAGCCGGGAAACCGTGGTGAAACCCTAAGCACTAAACCCTAAACCCTCTAAACCCTAAACCCTAAACCCTAGCCCTGAACCCTAAACCCCTGAAGTCATCACGTCAAGATCCTGGAAACCGGGCCTTCGAGACCTCCACCACAGTTCCACAGAGGTCTCCGCCGGGGATGTAGGGAAAGGAAGGCGGGCCTGCACCCAGCCATGGTTTTTTTTTTGGGCTGCACTTAGGAGGCTAGTAAAAAACTAAACTTTTAGCTGCCTTATTAAGAAACCCAATAAACCCAAAAAGGCTAAAGATGTAAAGTTACAGTAAAGCACCACAAAGGGACTTAGGGGCGCTTGGGGTTTATTAAATATTCGGGCTTTGGGTTCAGGGTATCCCTAAACCCTAAACCCTAAACCCTCAACCCTCAACCCTCAACCCTCAACCCTCAACCCTCAACCCTAACAAACCTGACCTACCTCTGTTTGGGCTGTAGGGCGGAGAGGGCTCAGGGCTCCCAGAGCTGTCCTAAAGCCAAAGGGGAAGGTCTGCTGGTTTGGGAGATGGGCGCCTGGGAACAAATGCGGCAGTAGGGTTTAAGGCTTAGGGTTCTAGGGTTTCGGGTTTAGGGTTTTGGGCTTAGGGTTGAGGGCTTAGGGTTTCGGGTTTGGGGATCAGGGTTTCGAGTTAGGCTTCGGGCAAGAGATGAACTGCTTGTTTGAATCCTTTTGCTTCTAATATGGTAAACATGGAGTACTGACTACATCCTGCTGACTATGCTTGGTTTAGGGCTTGCGGCTTAGGAGCCAAACATCTCCTAATTAAGGAAGGCACCTTCAATCGAAGTGGGATCCCCATCATGACATAAGGTGTATTCCTTAACTAAGAGGACACCTTGTTACATCAAACTAGGATCCCTATTATGACTTGAGGCATATTTCTTAAGTAAGGATCCCTACTATGGCTTAAGGGATATTCCTTAAGTGAGGGGTATTGGGCTCTTTGGGTGCCTGAAGAGGCATCTTGCGAGACAGGTCCAACCCCTGGCGCAGGTAAAAACGTACAAACGGTAGTCACCGTCGTGATGATCAACATCCAAACTCAGATAAAGGGTATTGCAGCAACTTAGTTTAGGGTTTAGGGTTTAGGGTCTAGGGTCTACGGTTTAGGGTTTACGGTTTAGGGGTTAGGGGTTTAGGGTTTAGGGTTTAGGGTTTCTGTGGCTTAGAGACCCTGGCCCCGGCGACTTCGCGCGCCTTGGACCAGCCTTGTCTTGCCGGTCATGACGCGGCAGTCGCCGGGCGCCAGCGAGGCCGCCTGCACGCGAACCTGGGTGCAGGGCGCCGAGTTCAAGGTTTCGGGGTCTGGTTAGAAGTTTAGGGTTTCAGGAGTTGATATAGGAGTTCAGGATTTAGGGCTTCAGGAGTTTTGGGGGTTATGGAGTAGGAGTTTAGGGTTTATGGTTTAGATTTTAGGGTTTTGGGTTTAGGGTTTAGGGTTTAGGGTTTAGGGTTTTGGGTCTTGGGATTTAGGGTTTAGGGTTTAGGGTTTCAGTAAGCCCTCGTCCCCAATCCGCAGAGCAGCCAGCAGAAAGCGGCCCTTGGCCGGCAGCTGCGGCCTGAAAGTGGGGGGCTTAGGGTTTAGGGGTTTAGGGGTTTTAGGGTTTTAGGGTTTTAGGGTTTTAGGGTTTAGGGTTTAGGGTTTAGGGTTTAGGGTCTAGGGTTTAGGGTTTAGGGTTTAGGTTTAGGGTTGAGGGTTCAGGGTTGAGGGTTTCAGGGTTGAGGGTTGCGGGTTGAGGGTTGAGGGTTGAGAGTTGAGGGTTTTGAGGGGGGAGACCCCTAACTCACCCCCTGGTTTAGGTTCGGGCGGCTTCGGATTAAGGGTTTTTAGGGTTTTAGGGTTTTAGGGGTTTAGGGTTTTAGGGTTTTAGGGTTTTAGGGTTTTAGGGTTTGGGGCTCAGGGTTTTCGGGTTTTTAGGGTTTAGCGTTAAGGGTTTGGGGTTTAGGGTTTTAGGGTTTCTGGTTGGGGGTTGAGGGTTTGGGGGACAACAATTCTCCAGAGCTTAACATGCATCCCCTACCTCAGCCCCCAAGTGGTTTTTCGGCCATGTCACAATGCGAGGGGCACTACTTTCCCAACCCTACACCCACACAGGGCTTGGGGGCTTAATTAGGAGATGGCGCCCCAACACACCCAGGAGTTGTGAGGGGGCGGCATATGTCGCGGCGGCGTTTTTTGAAGTTGGAGGCACCACTACCAGAAAGGTTGGGTTGTTCTATTTTTCCCACCCCCTGCTTACGCAGGCATCCGCCCAACTTTTCTCCTTCTAGGGTTTCGAGCTAACGCCCTAAATTCCCACTTCCCACCCCCGTGCTGGTCGGGCCCAAGGGAGGGTCAGAACAGGCTGCAATGGGCAGGGAGGGCCAGGCGGCGGGTCAGGGGGGCCCAGGGGCAAAAGTGAGTAAGAATACGTCCGGCACCAGGGAGCTCCGCCCAGGGACCAAGGTCTTAGGTTGCGAAAAAAAACTTGAGAATCGGAGACCAGCACTGTGCAGCTCACGCACAACACAACTTTTTAGGCTTGCATAGTAGCTCCAGGCGATGGTGTTAGTCGGGTGTAGTTCTGGGTCCAGGCACCCTAGAAAAGGGTGGGCACGGCCTAAGCAGGCCTGGGTGGGAATTTAGGGTTTCGGGCTTGGGGCTTAGGGCTTCGGGCTCTTAGGGCTTAGGGCTTAGGGCTTAGGGCTTAGGGCTTAGGGCTTAGGGCTTAGGGCTTAGGGCTTAGGGCTTAGCTGAGCGACACCCTCTATGCAAGCCCAAAGCCCGAAGCCCGAAGCCCTGAGCCGTCCGTAGACAGACACGTTCTGACATTGTGTGGTTCCTGCCTTGGGACCGTGTCGGATATGGAAAGCAGCTCGGAGGCGTCCTGGCAAAGAAACGCTAGGGGATTTGGGACTTAGGACTTAGGAGGGTTTAGGGTTTAGGGTTTAGGGTTTTAGGGTTTAGGGTTTAGGGTTTAGGGTTTAGGGTTTAGGGTTTAGGGTTTAGGGTTTAGGGTTTAGGGTTTAGGGTTTAGGGGCGAAATTCGGCGTTTGAGGAGTATAGTTATCAGGGAAACTCCAAGGTGTAATCACAAGCACTGAGTTGAGAATACCGTTAAGCCATGCAGGAGCGTACGCTCTATTTTCTACTGCAGAGGGCTTGCGAGGTAATGCAACGGGACGATATGCACATGATGTTAAAATGCAAGGGTTATCGCAATGCAAAATTACACCCCCCTCGCCGAGTATTGGCAATGGGAAGGCGGACTGCACTGCAACCCTGAAACATCACTGAGCGCACATCGGCCTCGTCTTGCGACGGGCAAGCGATCACCTCGCGGGAGTAGAAAAGTGTTTGTGTTCACTAAGACATGCTCAACAGCAGCACGTCAGACACATGTGAATTCGATTTTGCTCCGAGGGCAAACAAAAGTCCGGAAATGCTTGCACTTATAAACTCCAACGATCGCGTCAAACCCGGAGGTGAGGATCGAATTGGTACCGTCAGCCGTTAAATTGAGGTGCGGCGCCGGTAGTTTCGGAGTTGTCACGATGTGACCAGTTGGAAATTAGGCGAAAAGAAGATTCATCTTTCTACTTGTGCAAAGCAACAATGAATATTGGCCTCCGCGTTAGCGGGGCGATATCAGTCGGATTTGCCTGCAACTCGGCTTCATTGATGAAAATATGGCACTACAGCTTGAAAGGGGCGGGGGGAGTGGTTTCACCACTGACGATTCCATCGTCCCCCCTGGCGGTAGCTATCCGTCCATTCATAGCGTGGGGCACGGTACTGCTCGCCACGGTTCTGCTCGCCCTTTCCCCTTCCCTTCGGCTTGGCTGACGCAATCTTTGCCTGTGCCTCACGTGACCGCTGGGCATCCTCGTCCTTCGCCAGGTAGGCCCTCTCCGCTGGTCCCTGGTTCTTGAGGATCAGATCGAGAATCCATGCCCGATTCTCGTCGAGGGACCATCGAGAGCTGCCTTTGGTCGGCTCCGTGCCAGTGAAGGTGACCAAGCGATGAATCGTGTCGGACTTCGCAAGGATCTGGATGAAGTCCTCCAAGCTCATGATGGCCCCGATCCAAGACACTACGAAGGCAGGATCGTCCGGCGTGGTCGCTAGACCCGCAGCAATCAACTCTTGAGGCGTGCAATTCACGAAAATCAGCCGAGCTGTAGTAAACGGATTGTCTGCCTGGAATCGGGCACCAGTGCCATGGGATCCTACCCCTAGGCGACGTTGTGCCTCAGTTCTTCCTTCATTTGGCAGAGCGGCGTTAATTAGAAGTTGGAACACACGCATGTCGTCAACTCCATGACCTTGGTCAATCATTTGGAGTGCGAACTGTGCGTCACCGCGGAACCTGTCCATTATGCCCTCGAAGCCCAAATTACGTGCACGCTTGGCCATCTGCTTTGCTTTAGCAAGCGTTTCGGCCTCAGGCGAAATGGCTCCACGGGTACCTGCATCTCTCCGCATCTCCTGAAGGATGTCGCTGTCTGAGAGATCCCGATGGTGCCGGCCCAACGATGCTGCAGCACACTCCTTTGCGAAGTAACGTGCCGATTGCAGCTTTCTGCGATGGAGTTGGGAGCGAGGGGTAATAAAGGACTGACCGCAATGGATGCAAAGGGTCTGGCCGATGAGGTAGTCGTGCGCGCACTTGGGGCATACCCTTTTCGCATAGCTTGTACCGCTCTGGCTCGAAGCTGCCTGATCAATTGTCTCAGCATCTTCGGTCACTGCAGTGCTTGGCTGATCATTCTCCATCGGATCATCGGCCTCAGCGTTAGCTGGGCGAGATGACCCTTCGGTTGACGGCCTGGTCCAAATGTAGGATCCGTCCCTAGTGTCGCGCACGTAAAGTGCACACGTGCCAGGGACTTCTTCTGAACAGAGGACGCCGTCGCTCTCGGAGATGAAAAGCCATGCGTGCTGCAATACAAGCTTTGTCTCGTAGACGATTTCGATGGGAAGGTCGGCACGCACGCCACTTTTGACCTGGAGGTCCTCGAGCGCTGCAAGGGCAAAATAGTTGTGTGCCTTACCCGAGTCTCCAAACCCAGGTTTCATCGACCCCTCAACAATTGCCAACGCAGCATCTCTGGTAGTCCTGTGGTACAGTCGGGGAGGACATTTTTCAATTGGTAATAGCGGCCTACCTGCGAAGGTGGCGGTATCTCCAATCTCCTCTTGACTTTTGGGGCTAAGCCAGGACACTGCGAGGTCTGTGTCTGTGTAGCGGTCTCGGGCCGATTGGGCGTGGCCCTGGGCACAATGGATCCAGACCGGGTAAAGGTCCTGGCCGAGTGCCTGGGAGCGAAGAGCATCTGGCATACACCGAAGTGAGAATCTCGCTTTGTTGTCATGGTAGACGATCGAGAAGATGCTTCTTGTCCCTAGAAGAATCTTGTACCGCGCCAACACGATGTCGATGAGTTCATCAACGAGCATCCATGTCCGATCCCACGATCGCCCCGAGCGATGGCCTCTGACCAAACCGGTGATCCCCTTCATGATGTGATGGGGAATGTCGGCTTCCTCTTCAGGCTTCAACTCTGTCTGAAGCACATGGATCATTCTGGGGTCGTCGAACGGGATCGAGTTGAAGTCATCGCGGTTGATTCCACGCATCTCATCAAAAGTGAGTTCCTCTGATCGGGACCACCCAAGGTGGTAGTCTTCCACGTCATCAACGAAAAGAGACGGCTCGGCCTCTGCTTTCGCAGGGCTACCCCTCTTCTCGGTTTTGGACGACTTCACCTTGGGATAGGGGACGATCCACGGTGCCCGGCGCTTGACCTGCTCAAACGAGCGACTGTCGAGCTCTATGTTTCCCTCACCATCAGGTTCTGGATCTTTTGAGCTCGAAGCCGGCGTTCCCTTTCGGGACGCAAGATCAGCGTCGCGGGCCTTGGACTGGTATTGCTTGTCCGCATCTCGCCTTAGATGCCATTGCTTGTGGCCTCCCAGGCGGTAGTTGCTCGTCTCGCGAGCGACCTGCTCTTGCGACAACTCCACATACGGTTCGGTATCTGGAGCAATAGTCCTCTGCCAAGGTTCAAGAGTGAAGGCCCGTGCCGGAATCATGTGTCGATAGCCGGCGCTACTTTTTGACCACTCGGACTCGAACTCAGCAGGGACTCTGTAGCGCCCACCCTCACGAAAGGGGTAATCACGGGCAAGCTCCTGCAGCAGATCCTCCGGAACGTGCTGGGCCATGTCCTGCACTGCGGCCAGAACCGACAGTGCTGCCAGGTAGTTTGCCAGGCGGCTGCGGCTTTCCCTGTCCTCCAGAAAGTGGTACACATCGTAGAGGGGCAGCTCACCAGCCATGTTCGCAAACTCGAAGACGTTGCACCCCTGACCCTTGGCGTAAGAAAGCAACACTTTCATAGTTTCCTCCCATTGGTGTGGCAAACTATAATACGTTGCACGCCCTGGTCCAGTGAACGAGATCGCACCGCAGCACGGCCTGCCCTTGAGGGCGGCGATTCGTCGGATGTTGCCACACACTCCACTGGCAATCTGCGACCAATCGCCCTCAGCGGCGTAGCCTTCCGGGGGCATGTTCCAGTGCTGGAGATCCGGGGGGATGAAGACCCCATAGTTGCCGAAGAGCTCATTGCCCTGCCAGACAACCAGTATGTCGATCACCTGCTGTTCCTGCTGTTCAGGGGGCAACTGAGCCACCATTTCGTCGAAGGTTTCGACCACGGTGTCCCTGATCTTCCGGAGGTTGCCTCCCCAAATTGGCAGCACTCGCACCGTGGCGTAGTGATCCAAAGGGGCCCCCATAGAGGTCATCGCCTCAATGTCCTCAGCAATCGTGGATGCTGTTTTGGCGCCGGCCTTGAAGTAGAGGGTTGAGTCACCCACAACTAACAGCTGCCGAATGCTACCTCTTCCCGAGGCAGGGTGCAAGAGGGCGAGACCCTCATCGGCCACAGCCGCTAGGCGGGCAATATCCGACACTGTAGAATTATCCTTGATGGCCAGTGACGTTGCTGTCTGGACCGGGACTTCATTGTACAGGTATCGGATGCCCTGGGTGTAGAAGGGGTTAATGCTGAAACGGAACTCTTCAGCAAACACAGCCCTCCACAAGGAGCCAATCCACCATGAGGCACAGTCCTCACGCGGGGTGTCGCCCTTCAGGTAGAGAGCGGCGGACATTGTGCTCGGCGTGGTCTTTCGACCCGCAATGCAGGGGCAGGCAAGAGAACTTAGGTCTACAACTTCTTTTGGGCGTACATTGTGGAGCTTACCACTCTTCCATGAATGAATGATGCTCTGGATGATGCCGTCCTTAGTGCTGTGATCATGCACCGCGTCTGGTTCGTTTCTGACCTTGGTCTCTGCTGTAAACCCTGCAAACGAGCACATGAAAATATCATGTCCAATGCGTACAAACTGATGTGGGCATCGAAGTGTCATAAAGTTGCGCAGACCTTCATTTTTGACAGAATCATGCACATGCAAAACAACATCAATGCGGTAATTTTTCAGCAAACGTGAAATGGTCCTAACCGAACGAAAGCACTTATCACTGCCTTGACCCGGCAGCGACGCGTAAACAAGTACCTTTCCCCCCTCGTCGCAGAGGGTTTTGACTTGTCTGACGGTACGGTAGGCTTCGGTTTCGGTTAACTCATGGACATTGACTATTGTAACTCCGTGAAGCTTGGGCACGGACGTATCCCCACACACAATTACGACACCTTTGGGCGCAGCCGGCCTCGGCGTAGGCCGGGCTGCAGCAGACGGCGAGCCAGTAGTTGGGCTTAGCCTGAAGCCCGAGTGTTGTAGCTGCTGAGACAGTGTCGAACCGATTTGGGGAAATCCATGAGGAGTATACGCAATGATTGAGTACCTGTTTCC